CCCCGAACAGAACAAGTGAAAGTTTATAATCAATTATTCGGAAAACTCGTCACTTTTGTCGCTGTGAATAATTTGGTTTATTTAAATTTCCGTTTCTTCACTTTTAGGTCAATATTTCTAAACAAAACTCTTTAAACAGAACAACGCGTTTTTTCCTAACGTTTTACTGTAAAATACTGGCAAACTGAGAGTCTTTTATGAAAAAAAATTAAAAGATGGTTTTTACAAGAAAAGTCGTCGTCTTTACAGTTGGGTCTTCTTTATCGTCGTTTTCGAATACCCGTTTTAGCCTTGAATTTGGAACAAAATCGAAACAAAGTTATCTTGTTTCTTTCGACAAATTTATATTTTCGCAAAAAAGGACCAGAGAAAGCAAAAGTGTATAATCAATATTTGGAAAACTCGTCATCCTCATCGTTCTGAATTGATTTTAAGTTTCTTCAAAATCTCCGGATTTTCCCGTTTTGGACCAAGTTTCAGGCATGCGCAAAAGCTATATGTTGGTAGTTTTTTTTGTTAGATGTTAATTCCGTCATCGGCCATGAGTAAAACTCATTAACTCAAAGGGCGGCAACAACTCAAAAGCGCAACTCAACACAGTGGTACCCAGGCCTTGAATAAGGGGAAAACTTTTCATCTAGAAAATCAAAGTATCTTTAATATATTGTGCAACTTTCCATTTTTCACCCTTATCGAAAATTTCTCAAGAAAATCGCGGACACTATCTCAGGATTAAGTCATTTTATAAATCTTGAGAGTTTCGATTTGCCACCATCATCAGGAACTTTTTGAAACTAGCTAAGTTTCAAGACTAAAAATGTAGATGCATGTACAAATAAAAACTCGTAACTTGATTACTTATTAGATTAAAGGAGAGTGTTTCGTAGAAAATAGAAAAACTATATTTTTTTAAATGCCGAGCATTTGGATTTTCTACCCTCAAAATGGATTTTTGCCAGCAAATATTAGGAGCAGGATTTAAGCGTAACGTTATTTTTCTTGTCGATGTAGATGCTCTCTGTTGACGAAGTTTTGGTGGCACATGAAAGTTTCGATTTGTATCAGAAGAGCAGAATGTTGAATTAAATATAAATTAAAACAAAAAAAACTGCGAAATTATTTTATTTCATACATATAAAACGTAATTCTAGTCATAAATTTACAACTTTGAGCAAACGTCAACGACCTTAACGTAGAACATATACGGGAACATAACCAGAGTAAAATACTAAAGCACAACTCCCATTATAACCATCATGCAATTGAGCAAAACGTGTGTTACTCACCAGGCGGGATGTGAAAATATTCCCACACTATTGAGCAAAGCTGCGTATTTATTTGTTTGTTGTTCTACTTTACTAGGCGTAAAAATATGCGGATTAATTTAAAAAAACCAGTACACCTTAAGAGCTAAGAATACAAATAATTTGCCTTAAAGCTCGTTCACACGTTGACATTTTGACGCGACATTAGATGTCACAGTGTGAATGAGCTTTTACATAAACTCACTTATTGGGACGTGTATGGGTGAAAACAATTTGTAATCATGGTTTGTACTTGTTTTTTTGTACTGTTTGCTGTCTCTTTTTTTAAAGTTCTCTGCTTTTAAAGTTCGTTGGTGAGTTTCGTACTATGTTTGATTCGGACTTTCAGCAATCCGGGGTTTAGCTGTGCGTACCATATTCCTCGCTCTTTTAACCGCGTAATAACGGCTGGTTTGATTTTTGCCACACCGTTCGCGCTATTTTTACCGCGTCCAGTAATAATCTGCACCGTTTCCCCGCCTTTCTTGCTGCTTAAACGCAGCAGGTTGATCATGCGATCCAGGAACATGTCCAGGTGCGGAATCGCTTCTTTGATATATAAAAAGTGCAAATCCAGCATGTTAAAGTTCTCTAACCGTCTGGAATGGTCATCGAGAAACGCCGTGGCCGCCAAGCTATTATAGTGTTCGAAAGCGGGCGTCTGATTTGCTGCAAGTCCACTGTAAAAGCGCGCTACTTCATAGTTTCGATTCTGATAATGGCGGTTGGCTTTTTCGTATAGTTCTGTGCGTTTTGCCAGCAATCCATTCGCTTTTATCCGGTATTCCATGGGCGACCAGTTCTGCTCCTCCACCTCCTCGACCGTGCATGCACTCTGAAATTTATTTAAAATCAACGTCATTCATGGGTCCAAATCGAATATAGCAATAATTTAAACCAGGGACGAGCAACACGCGGCCCCTTTAACATGATTATGCGGCCCGCCAAGCCTTTTAATTTAAGTTATTCATTTGCTAAAATTTTATATCCCATCAATATATTGTTATACAATTAATTAGAATAAAATGGTAGTACACACTAGGCCTGGGTAACGCGGTGTTGAGTTGCGCTATTGAGTTGTTGCCGCTCTCTGAGTTAATGAGTTATAACTAATGGCCGGTGACGGAATTTTAGCATCTAACAAAAAAGCCATCAACATATTGCTTTTGCGCATATGGTTGCTTGAAACTATTTGGTCCAAAACGGAAAAATCTGCAGATTTTGAAGAAACTTAAAAAAATTTAGAGCGATGATGGTGACGAGTTTTCCAAATATTGATTATACGCTTTTGCTTTATCTGGTCCTTTTTCGATAGAACCTAAATTTTGTCGAAAAAAACACGAAACCTTTGTTTCGATTTTGTCCTAGATTCAAAGGTTAAACGGGTACTCGAAAAAGACGATAAAAAAGACCAAACTGTAAAGACGACGACTTTTCTTGTAAAATCCATCTTTTAACCTTTTTGCATAAGACTCTCAGTTTGCCAGTATTTTCCAGTAAAGCGTTAAGAAAACGTGTTGTTCTGTTTAGAAATATTGACCTAAAATTGAAGCAACCGGAATTTAAATAAACGAAATTATTAACAGGGACAAAAGTGATGAGTTTTGGAATAATTGATTATAAATTTTCACTTCTTCTGTTAGGGGAAATATTTTTGGGAAAAAAATCCAGAAAAAATGATTAGAGTTTTGTCCAAAATTCGAAGCAGTAAAATGTTCCAGAAAAAAATTACAAAGCCGTTCAGGAGCCGAGTGTTCCAATAAAATTTATTTTATAATTTTCACAGAAAATACCCGAAGATTGTCAGTATTTTAAGGAAAACTAAAAAATAATGCGTTTTTGCGTAGAAAGAATTGCTTAATAGAAACTTTGCTAAAACTGGAATGACCTAAAATTTTAAAGATACTTGAAAAATCTTCAAAACGATGAGGGTGGCAAATTTTCCAAGTAATTGTTTTTGAAAATTTGCTATCTGACCGTTTTTTTCAAGATAATCTTTAAGTACTTTCGGTAAAAGAATGAATAAAATTATCTGGTTTTTGGGCCAAATTCGAAGCTGAAAAGAGTTTTCTAAAGTTCCCTACAAACCGATGAATGAGGCGAATTTTCTAGCAAAATTAATTTTGTCATGTTTGGCTGAAAAGACCCCATTATTGTCAGAATAATCAGAAAATCATGTTTTTTGCGTTTTTTATTTAAAACTTTTAGTTTTGCGATCTGTTTTTGCGAAAACCTTAATAGTTTTCGGGGAAAAAGGGAAACATTTATTTTCGTCTTTATCCCGAATTCGCTTCCAAAAAAATTTTTGTAAAATTCCTACAAAGCTATAATTATATCTTGTAATTTTTCGCGTAAAATACAACCAGATCATCAGTATTTTTAAGTAAAATTCTTCAAAATAGATCGTTTTTGAGTAGAAAGCAGAGAAAAAAAAATTCAGTCAAAACTAAAAAAACAATTTTTTTTAACAAACTACAGTTTTCAGAGGAATGGAAGTGACGAGTTTTCCAAATAATTTAGTATAAGCTTTCGCTTCTTCAGTTCGTTTTTTGATAGAAAATTATTTGATTTTTGTCCGAAATTCGAAGCTGGAAAGGGATTTCAAAACTTTTTACAAAGCGGCGAAAGAGGCGAGTATTCTAATAAAATAAAAATAAAATGTATTTCATAATTTTTGGCGAAAAATACGTTAAGATTGTCAGTATTTTTTAGTGAAAATTTGTCATATGTCAAAAAATGACAGTTATTTTGGAGAAATGCCTTACGCCATTTTGTTTGGAATTTCCTACAAGTTTTCTATTCAACGTTTTCCTGTCAAATTAATATCAACGGAAGTAGGAGTAAGTTAAAAATGTACCCTAAATAAGTTTCATCCAAATATCTTTTGACAGCTGTCAAATTTCAGAAAAGTAAAATTAGTTTCAAGTAGAGCATTCGAAACTGCAGTTATTTGTCCATTTGACCTTCTTCGTAACTGCTCTAATTCCGAAGATCCCTGCACTTTTTCATCGAAAAAAACTCACCCTGTATAGACATTTTAATCGAACGAATTTTAACGACTTGACTTGACAAGACGGCGGTTTCCATGAAAATATTTTCCTCGGCATTTCATATCGATGTGGATACAGTTGCCGGAGACTTTCAAATGGAAGTGATTGACTTGCAGAATAATACCGATTTAAAGAATGTATTTGTCTCAGTAAATATTGAAATTTTTTATAAATTATATGAGCCCAGAGAAATTTTTGCTTTCGACCAAAAAAGCAAAGTAAATGATGTCCGTTGATCAAAAAGGTTGCTCACCCCTGATTTAAACGAATGGAGGTAAAAATCCTTGCCACAAATGCACCTTTTCCATGCAATTTTTTTCTCCTTTCACTCACTTAACTTAGGCCTTACCTCTTGCTGGCAACTGTTGTGCGCGAGCCACATATCGCGGAACAATTCCGGTTCAATCGGCGGTTGCATCGCATTGGTCACATCCAATTCTAAAGTCGATCCAGTGCTGGCAATGAGAGTCTCCACTGTGTCCTTGTAATTGTTGCTGTGGGCCTGGAGGATTTCCAGCAAATCTTTCCTGTCTAGCGACGGGAACATTTTAAAGAGCTTGTCCTTGGTTAGCATCAATGCCAAGGTGTCTGGCGTCTCCTCCTGCCACTTTCTCGCCTCTTTGCGCAGTTTGCTCAGCTGCCGTTGCTCTTTCATAATCTTCGGGATTTCAATCGGTTCGCATGGGGGGCCGACGGCCAGGTCTTCCATTAGTTGCATTTTACGGGCCATTTCCTCGTCCTCCTTTACCATGTCCTCCAGGACGAGATTCTGCGCTTCCATTTGCTGACAAACTGATTCCACGTAGAATGTGAATATTTGCCTGGCGAATCCCACGGGCATTTGCACGACTGGCTGGAAGCCTTGGGGGAAAATAAAGTTTGGATCGCCAAAGGTTTTCTCCAGCTGCATAACCAGATCTTCGCCCAAGGTCAACTCTATTATATCCTCAAACTCTGTGGCTTCGTCGTTTTTGTCATCAAATGTTTCCTCGGATTCGTCACTGTCCAAAGGGCGGTGAACCTGTTCGGGCGTAAAGTCCGATCGGGACTTGATTTTCAGTAGCTGCTCGGAATAGTGTTCGGGTGCGATTTTAATTTTGCTTTCAACCATCTTCTTCAAAGCCTTCGACTTTTCTGAACAACCGCCCAACTTTTCCTTGCGGATTTTCTGGCTGGCTCCTTTCGAATCGCTACTGCTTTCGGAAGTGCTTGAGTTTCGATGTATTAGCGGTGGCCTTTCTCCAAGATCGTTCGACTCCATCTCACTGTCCTCGGGTACATCGTTGATGTTTTCCTCATCTTCCACCATAAACAGCTCTACCGTCCAATCGAAATCGCATTTAAACAGTGCGTACCTGGAAAACAGCGGGGCAAAAATTAAGAAAAAAAAACATCATTCCCATTCTAACCAGTAGCGGATGGCCTTAGAGGAAATGTTCGGGAAAAAATGTTGCAGCATCTCCATATTGGCCTCGTGGCTTTCCTCCGTTTGGCTTCCCTGCTCGATCCGGCACTTTCTCACCATTCCCGGCGGCTTTGACTGGTAGTTTGGATTAATGTCCCTGTTGTGTCCCACAAAGACTTTGATCGCCTTTCGCATCATTTCGCATTCAATGTTGCGCAGCAAGTCAAAGTCTTCCAATTTGGTTTCGGTTGCGGCGTTCTTCATTTCCACCCGCTTCGGTTCTTCATGGTTTTTAAGAAGAACAACGCGAGCCTTGGGCTCGGTGGGCTCCATAGGAATCACAATGTCCCACGAACGAAGCGCCGCTTCATCGATGCCCCAAGCATTCAAGTTATCAAAGAGGCTGACGCTCTGCTGCATGGGTTTTAACACTGGGTCCTTCAGGGATGAGGACTCGCCATTTTCGAACAGAATGTCGTCCACTGAGCTCTGTTTGGACGTTTTGGGAGCTGGAGGAGCGTGCGACTCCCGTACACTCAGATCGGGGTAATTTCGGTACTGAGGCAGCTTTAGCCGCTTGTATTCGAGCCCATAGGCCGTAAATAGCCTCAATTTCGTCACATTCTTGTCATATTTAGTCAGCATGTTCCTGATGCTCTGTAGCGAAACTTGATGGGTGTTATGCCTGTACAATTCCTTCGGATTGAAGCTCCAATCAGTGCAGGGCTCGATTATTTGCACAATATATCCATAATCCGTTGCCATGATGGCATAGGGCTTCATTTCCCACATGGCCGCATTAGTGTTGTCGATTATCACGGGGCTGAAGCCGTTCGACATCGCTCTATTGGCCCTTTGATGATTCCAACCATGCGCTGCAGTCAAATCGGCGGCATCGTAATTGTAGACGCCGTTATTCATAAAATAGTCATCAGTTGATAGGATGTGGTCCCTTGCAGTCGTCTCATCATAGCCAATGGTGTTCTGTAGGATTGTTCGGGCCAATGTTGACTTCCCCGATCCTGGCAAGCCACGCATCAGGATCAAAACTCTCAAACCTGAGCGAATATCGCTTAAAGCTTCATGCAATACACCCATGTTTCTTGCCCGGGGGGATGTCTTCTGATCTTTTCGCCTTTCTGCTTGTCTGGGGCTCTCTCGGTCTGGAAATTTGCAAAATACGTGCGTTAATTGGCTGGTTTAGACGTAGTAGAATGTATTATTATTTATTGAGGCTTGAAACTGGAGGTCTTTTCCACAATCCCATCGGTTGGTTCACTTTTTAGCAACCACCCATTTCTCATTTGTACTTTTATACACCAAGTGGAGCAACTTCTAATCGGACAAATTTTGGATAAATAAGTTATACAAAAACGTTTCCGGTTTTTGAAGTGTTGTTTGCAAAAACTCATACAATCTCCGAAGTGTACAAATTTGACAATCTGCTAAAAGTTCGATTGAAGCGACATTTCTGACAACTCTAGAGAAAAGTGCACTCTCTACAGTATTAACAACTCCGAAGCGGTTTTCGATAGGTAGGTATATCAATAATTGAAAATAAATCTGCAAAATCAGCAAAAAAATTATATTTGTATCCAAACTATCAGGGCAGCTTTTGAACTCTATTCTGGCCCTATTCTGTATCTATTCCGTTGAAATTTAACGGACGTTATAAAGTTTACGGCCCGCTAAATTTGGCGCACAATCACATGTACATACGAGTGCTAATTAGTCTCGTATCTACTATTTCCTATACCGACGTGAGTTTTCAACCATAAATTAATTACTTTTTTGTTCTGATTGAGATTTTCTACTTTGGTGGCAGTTTAGCAACATGGCTGAGCAGTACTGAATTTTCGGCTGCGCGTACGGTGCGCGCGGGATTGTGCGCGTGCTATAGCAGACGGCGTTGTGAAGTTTCACCTGATTTAATATTCCAGAGGAAGAAATTTAATTTATTTTTCGGTTTAATAAAATACTACCAGAATTAGAATGCATGACGAATCCTAACAACAATATCAAACCGAATAAAAATGTTTGTTACATTACATATTTATGCCACTGGAAGTTACCACTTAACTACATCGCAACGTAATTAATAATCCAGATTAAGAAGTTACCGACGTAATTCGGAATGGGTTTTAGCGAAAGTTCGATGTTTCATTACTTTTGCCCAAATGATACCCCAGACTCTAATTCTAATGAACATATAAGAGCTAGAAATATTGTGGAAACGGTAATAGCTGTTCTAAGGCCTCGACCTATGATCCAATGAAAGCAGGAAAAATTTAATAGGTATTGTTGACCTTTCTACATAATATTAAGCATTTTTATAATCATGATTTTAATTTTTGAATTAAAAAACAAATTAAACAGACTTGAGACAGAAGCAAGTAACCAGCATGACGTTTTATTTTAGGCAATTTTAGATTATAAAGATTAGACGTTTGGGGTAGATTTCGACGTTGCCACCTACTACTGTTGAGAAAGTTTAACGGACTCCGCTAAATTATACAGGGTGTCCCGTAAGCACATGAAAAAGAAGACGATCTGACCTATGTCATCTGTCTGGCTCTGATGGTCAAAGTTCTTCAAAAAATTATCTTTTTCGAAATATTGGGATAATGATACGATGTATTTTAGTGAAACTCGCTGTAAATTTGTTCTTATGTAAGACTCATATTTTGATGAAACAATCGAGTTCATCCGATTTGGACAAGTGGAGAATTCTTGAGTGTCGTGGTACAAAAACTACCAGAACTTATTTGATGGATGAAATCAAACTAATTTTTTTGGTTGATGCACTAATTATTTGTTCACAATTTTGTGCTCTTTGTAAAATGTTGTAGCATTCATAATTTTTGCAAAAAAAAATATTTCTGTTTTCTTGCCACTTAACAATGTTGGATATTAACAGCAAATATCGTGATACGGGGCATAAAATCGTTGTCAATCAATCTCACAAATTCGTTTTGAATGACCTTTTCTAATGAAGAAGTGACCGACATGGTCAAAGTATTAGTATTTTGCGAAGACAACTTGCGTGAAAGCGTACGCGTTTACGCGGCGCATATTTGTAGTTAATGTCTAACATTGTTAAGTGGCAAGAAAACAGACATATTTTTTGCGCAAAAACTATGAATGCTACAAGATTTTACAAAGAGCACAAAATTGTGAACAAATGATTAGTGCATCAAGCAAAAAAAAATGAGTTAATGGAATCACCAAATACAAAGTTCTGGTAGTTTTTGTATCACGACACTCAAGAATTCACCACTTGTCCAAAACGGCTGAACTCGATTGTGTCATCAAACTATAAATCTTACATAAGAACACATTCACAGCGAATTTATTTATTTGAATTGAAACTTATTTCACCAAAATAAATCGTACCATACTCCCGATATTTCAAAAAAGATAATTTTTTTGAAAAACTTTGACCATCAATAGCAGAGGAGCCAGACATTTTTTGTTAATAAAAGTTACGTCAGATCATCTTCTTTTGATGCAAAGAATATCGCAGTATCCTTTTGATCATGTGCTACACCCTGTATATATTTTTTTAACGGAACCTCAAAATTTACATATACAGAATAGCAACAAGTCGATTGCGATATAACGGACCGTTAAAAATGTTATTTGTAACGGAATAGTTATATAATAGGGCCCTAAAGCTGTTTGGTGTAAGCTTTCGATCAAAGTAAATCTGTAGACTGTTATCAAACAAAAATTATCATAAATTCATGGCACTCAAGTGAAAAAATCGAATTGTTATTGAACATGTTCGAGCACTTGAAACAATTGGATGGCAATATTTACACAGGCGAGATTATAATAATCTGATCTGATAAACACGTGGTAAGTTCGCATTAAATAATCGAGTAGTTGTTTAGAAAAACACCGGGACGACTAAAAAAACCTCCCGGGGCCCATGACAACAACTCGATTAAAGTGAGTTTGCTTAACAGGACACGTGCTGCAATCTGCTTAACGCCCATTTAATGAACAAATCACTTTTTAATTTTAAATTAATTGTTAATTGACTAAAGAGCAGCTCTGGGCCCGCTCTCTAAGAGTAAAATGTACCACAAAACTCTTGGAATTGATCCATCAAGTACTTACCTTCATATTCATTGATGTATGAAGTGCTACTTATCGCCTTTTGATCCCAGTCTCGTTCGCGGACATCAACATCCTGGGATTTTCTGTTATAATCGAACTGTGCCATTGCTTTGCTGATGTTTTCACTGTAATTTACCTTCCACTACACGTGCGAATTTAGGCCTGGGTCTATTAAAAATTACGGCGCAACTGGTATTACTTCAAGTCTGAACGAATACCAGATGAAAATTGTTTTATAACAAGGTAAATACGCAATAACCCTAGTAAATTACAAATATAGCAATATTTATCTCATGCAAAACACTAATATAACCCACAGATCACAGAGGTTAATATAACCTTACGTGCAAGAGCACTTGTCATAGATAAAGACACCACAGAACATACCCGCCATCTGATGGGTGGACTAGGGTGTTGTCGACTCACCCAATAATAAAATCTCTTAATCGAATATCAATTTTACAAGTATAATTAAATGAAAAAATATACAACGATATTCCGGGTATCAAAATCTCAAAGAAATTTCGCTATATAAGAAAACCCCCGTTCACTCATTTTCTTTCAAATTTTGTTTATACCGGTTTGCTTCTCTAGTCATTCTCTAATAATCTCGTAAGTTGACCTAGAACCGGCTACGTTGCATTATGGGTGCGCCACATATCCACCAAATACCAAACTAACCGCAAACTGCTGGAAAATTCTGCCAAAAAAAAATTCTGTGGAACGACATCTACAATAGCGAGGTTCGAAATAGCGTGTAAGTCCCGCCCTATTTTGTTTCTATTCTAAGGGGGGATATTTTGTGAAAGACACCACGACACTTGGCATTTGTTTCGATCTCTCTTCAAGTCTGTACTTGTCTGTGATCTAATCTCACACTAACGCTCTGCGACTGTGAGGGAGAGAGATGTTATGCTATGTCAGTACAAAAGTTCAATAGAAACACCTCGATGGTTAAGTTTTACCTCTCGCTTGCACATCAGTGAATTCATATTGGTTGATTATTTCCCTCTTGCTCCTCTGCGCCTCGGACTAACTGACAATAGGGCGACTCGACGAACGGCCTCACTTCCCATCTCTGTTTGAGCCGGATAAGACACATATCGCTCCTCACTCTTCAGCTCAACGTAGATTCAACTATTTATTTCAGGCGCATTGGCGGTCAATTCCAGGGGTTGACAAAATACTTTCGATTTTTTTAGATGAAATTTTTTTTCCAAATATGTATTTAATTAAATAAAATTAAGTGAAAACTAAATTGAAATGCTTGCACGATGCAGTATGGGTGCAGTTAACGATATGGTCTGACAGCGGCCTGTCAAGATTCAAGGTTAAGATTGAGGTTAGAAATGCGAACTTCCACTGAATTGTGAATGTTTTGGTGTTAAATTATCGAATTTTTGACGAAACCCTTGCAGAACTTGCATTGTAAACGCACAGCAAAACGGCAATTCTCATCCGAGCAACATCACCGCAGTCAATGAGCGTGGGTGAGATTAATCAATAGTACCTACTTCTAAAGTTGGGTGGAAAAACAACGTTTAGTTTTTTTTGCCCTTCAACGCTGTTAAAGGAGCCCTGAGGGCGACGTGTTTTAAAGCGGCAACCCTGTGAATGCCCAAATCGTAGTCATTTTTTTTTTGGCCCTAGTTGCTACGCAACGTAATTTCCTATGATTTTTCAGCAAACAGTACCTGTTAATTCAGATACGTCGTTGAAATGCCTCGCAGTAAACGCAAGTTAACGGAAATGAGTTCAGCGGACGACGACAGATACGTATCAAAACGCCTTCGGCACACCAGGTAGGCCTCCGCGCGGGTGGTTGATCAACCGCTTTGGCACCGCTATGGGGTTTTGCGCCCAAAATGGGGCTGGGAAAGTCTTGCCACGTTCCCCCCATTAACAAACACCCACTGAACTTTGGCTGACCATTCCAGCTGTTTGTTTAAAAATAGAAACCCACTGCCGTGCCAAAATGCGTTGATTTTCCCAATTAAGCCAGCGAATGGTGTGGGGTTATAATTCGGGGCGGAAATTAATCGAAACTATATGGATGAAGAGGAGTAGGTGTTGAGGCATCATCCCTGACAGCTGATAGAGTGAAGTAACATAAGTTTTTAATGGCATTTTTAGCGGGCGACGAGCACGCGTCGAGGACACATCGTTTAGCCCGAAACGCTGTTTGGCCTGGTTTCGGGAGTATACGACCCCCGTCGAGCCAGATACGCTCGGCCCCGAAGGAATGGAGAAGTTCTGCAAGTGTATTGGGGTCGAGCCCGAGAACGTGGTGATGTTAGTTTTAGCCTATAAAATGCAGGCCCGCCGTATGGGCTTCTTTACCAAAGACGAGTGGTTGAAGGGGCTCAGCGACCTGCAGTGTGATACTATTCAGAAGCTGCAGTTCAAATTGGATTTTATGTGTAGCCTGTTGAATGACCAAAATGTTTTCAAGGCGGTTTTTCGATATGCCTACGATTTTGCCAGGGTAAGTCATTTCCTTTCTTCCGTTTTCTCCTTGTTTCAAAGGTTCCAAATCAGCTGTTCGAGCGCGAACGTTTTCCTGATATATCGCTATTATAAAGATCAAGCCTGATCAGCCAATGCTTGAGTAAAGCTTATTTGAGCTTAAAAGTTCCCATCGTTTCCTCTTTTGTCTCCTTAACATTTAGCGATTTTTTTTTCAATTTTTACTTACTTTTCCTTGAAGATACAGTAATCTGAACACAATTAGGCAATTTAGGCAATTCAAACAAATGATTAAAATGAACGAAATTTTGTCTAAATTAGGATAAAGACCAGCGTAGCATGGATATGGAAACTGCGAAAGCGATGCTCCAGTTGCTGCTAGCGAAGCAGTGGTCGTTGTTCAAACAGTTCGATGAGTTCCTTGACCAGTCGAAGTACAAAGTGATCAATAAGGACCAATGGTGTAATATTCTGGAATTTTCCCGGACGATTTTCAACGATCTTTCGAACTACGACGTGGATGGCGCTTGTAAGTTGTTTGAGCATAGGTTTTAATGAGCGCCGCTTATTTTTCTGGATGTTTCAGGGCCGGTGATGTTGGACGAATTCGTCGAATGGTTAAAATTAGCACGATCGAAAAGCGATGTTAGTTGAGGCCGGTTTAGAGACCACTTCCCATCCCTCTAATTACGATAATTGAACGGTTTGGCTATAATTTCGGAACGGCATCCCATATACATACACTTGTTTGCTGTGAATTTTATATTATATTTTAGCCCTATCTCGCTTTTCGGAAATTATAGTTGAGCAGCCACCTCCAAACACACCGTTCTGATGGGCTGGGATCAAAATGTCATTTTTTATTCAACTGATACTTTTCCAAATTATCTTTATAGACTGATGCTCAATGAATGGTTTTTCACATTTGATGTCTTTAAGGGCTCTGTTTGCCCTTTCGGTTTAAATATCCAGGTGATGTTAATTGGATGAAGCTTCCGGGGAGATTTCCTTATTTGTCTAAATTTTGTCTACTTCTAAACAGCCAAGCGAATCTTCGCATCCTTAAAAGTTAGGAATTTCTAATAAAATATAATTGTTAAAAGTAACTTATCCGAAATATCCTGATGGAGTCCAAGCTTCCATAGAATCTGGAGCTTTTTAAAATCAAATCCACAGTTTTAAATCCGGACTGAACTAGAAAACATCTGACAACAACAGCGGGACATTTGAATATGCTCTTCCCATTTTTTCGGCTTTCCAATAACGACATTCACTGAACATCACCTATCGCCTTAAGTGCGTCTGCCGCATCGACTAGCCCAGTCCAAAATCGTTCCTTTATGTATTTTAACATGACTTGCAAGCGTGCCAAAGTGCTACCGAAAAAGTTGTCGTTTAATACGCGCCTGCATCTTCTCTAGGTAATGACTCCTCTCCACTAGATTAATCTGTGACCGTTGAGCCCCGTAGATCCACCAGCATGCTGTTAAAATTAAAATAAAGACACTTGTTTAAACTGGTTTATTTGCAGTAGCGGTCCGCTTTCATTTTGCTGCGTCGATCCAGCAAAGTCTCGTGGAACGTGCCCTCGTCTTTGGCCTTTTTGAGGTCCTTTTTGCCCTCCGGGCACAGTCTCAGGCGCTTGTCTTGGAACTTTTGGAATTTCTTCCTGCAATCCGTCCATTAAAATTTTGCCTGCTTTATCCCCAAGGTGCTTACACATAGTTAATCTCCACTTGTTTCAGGTTACCCTGCTCTTCATCGGGTTCGTCTTTTGAGCGACTGATTTCTTTAAGGGTGTGCGAGCGAATGGTTAGGAACTGCTCGGCGGCCGCCCGTTTGGCTCTTGCTATGATGGAGTCTTCATCGTCCGCCGACATAAAACCACCGTTGTACCCCAGCAGGGCCATTTTCCCGTCCTGAAACACCACATTTTTTACTTCTTTTACCCTTCTAGAATTGGGGTCTTAAGAGGCTAACTTGCAATACTGGTTCCCATTGTTCCATAGCTCCAATAGCGTCAGATCGGCCTGTAACAACATCGTTTTTGTCCACTCGCAGGTATTTGTTGTAGCCGGACTTGAAAGCCACTTTGTGCTCACTTATGTAGACTCCGGTCAGGATTTCTTCGGGCGACGGGCCTTCGGTTTCGTTGTGAGGGGCTCCTAGCGTGAACAGCCCTGCAATAGAACGCGGCTTTAGGGGTTGCAAGGGGACGGTAAAGGTGGCTTTTGCGCTAACCGTTGTCCAGAGCTTTTACATACACGTGGGAGCCGAATTCGATAGCCACGGGGCCCACGATGTCTTCAGTTTTTGAGATTTTCCACCAGTTTCCGTGGCTGATTGTGTCGGTGCTGATTTGGGTGGGGTTTTCCTTAGTTTTTCCACTTTGATGTTTTCGTTTCTTTGATCTGCAAAAGTCATGGATTTTCAACCCCCATTGCATACTCAGCAGAGTAGCAGTCACTGACTTGCCCTTATCTCCTTTTAGCTTCAGTTTACCGGGCTTTACTTTATCGTATTCCGACATCCTCAGTCCTCTGAAGTGTTTATTGGTTTTTATTGAGAAACTTATTTTGCATGGTTATATTTACTTTGAGAGACAAGACATTGACAGAGGCTCGTTGTTGCTGATGCCAGCGCCCTCTCTGATCTAGTTGCAAATGTGATTAAGCCATGATACAATAAATATAAGGTATGATATTCATCAGTCGAAAACTCGACTTTCGTGCCCACATGACGTTACTGGTTAGCACCATAGATAAAGACGAGTTTTTTTGGTACTTTGGAATGGTTCAATACTATTCAGAAATCGCATGTTTATAAAAAAAACTGAATATAAAACAAAGTGAGCAACCGTATGAGAACCGTTACTCATTGGCAGCAGGAAAGAATGTAAAGAATAATGCTATTGATAATAAGAATCGTAGAGACGAGGTCAAATACTTTATTGAGCTGGATATCGAACCAGAAAAGCGGGAAACTCAGAATGATGCATACTTGTGCATGAATAGTGGTAATGATAGCGATGAGGGTGAACAATATCAAGAATGTATGAATACAGCGATAAATGATGAAAATGTTTTATTTGATGATTCAGACACGGAGAGGAAAAACATTATCAAGAAAACAACAATTATGACTTCGGGAAGGATTTCCAAGCCATCTCCGGGTCTGAATCAATTTGTTTAAAATAGCTAACGTAGGGTACAGTAAAATTAAGTAGAGTTCAGAGTTACATATTAGTATTAAGTATAGGAAGGGGGATGTAAGGAGGTATATAAATGTCGAGGTCAACGGGCCGAGGACGTATGACAAACAGTGGATGTAAGGTTAAGAAGATAGAGCATGATGACAAAGCTATATTAGTGTTTTAATTAATAATAAATAATAATAAAATAACCACGATCCACACAACAAAACAAACACTAAAGAAGTCTTTACAAAATATCTGATTTTCAGCGTTTTAGCTTTCTGTGTTGCCAGAGTGTCATTCGTGAAATCGGGTAGAGCCAAACGAAACAATGAATTCATTGTATTATTTAATTAATTCATTGTATCCTTGAATGAATTCATTGTATCATGGGGCGAATGCGTTTGGGCGTATTTGGGAATCTTGTAGACAAAGAACTGAACATTTTACGTTTGGTAGTTGGAAAGTGTACTGTAGATTATTTGCTACTTTTAAGTGTCAGTTCAGAAATATAAAAATGCGGTGTGGAGTTTACGGGTGCATTAGTAATATGAGAGCTAAATCTCTGAAAACAAAGTTTCATAGATTTCCAAAAGACAGTATTTTAAGCAAGCTATGAGAATGCTTGTTGTGGTGCAGACACCATTAATGTTGCCTCCGCCAGAATATGTTCTCAGCATTTCAAAAATGATGGTTATGAGAGGAATTTGCAATTCGAATTATTGAGGTATTTGCAAAAAACAAACGCTATACATTATTGCACATCTGACAACTGTGATAGCCTACAAAATAAATGCATTTTTGTTACTTTTCATTTTCAAGTTTGAAACCTGCTGCAAAGGATTTTGTAATTATAACGAAGATTTATTAAAAAAAATAATTAAATGTGACAAAGACTTAATAAGCTATATTTAATCACATTTAGCAGACAGGAATACTTCACATCACGCAGTGACTTCCACTGACGTTAGGCAAATCGACGCAATATCCTGCCTTGTATTCATTGTATCATGCGATTAAGCATGGAGGTATGAGCCTCCAATTCAGAATAAACCATCATAAATGATTTAGTTGCTGCATTTAATTAAGAGTGAGTTAGGATTTAAATATATGAGTTAAACGTAAAGTGAAAATTTATTGATTATCTCATTTGTATCTTGTGTAGATAGACAGATATAGGCAAAAATTGAAAAAAATTAATACATTCTCAACAAATATTAGCTATCTGTTTCAATCCTCCTTTTATAAAGACTGATAAAGACAATGTATTTGAATCATTCGCGATTTGTCGACCCACGGTCTGCTGAACTTTCGACATTCAGACGCCCCCTGGTGGCTAAAATTATAACTACAAGTTAAGTAGTAATTTGACATTTGTTGTCATTGATGTTTACATCTGATTGTGATTTGTTTTGTTCTAATCAACTTTTGCAAGCTTTTAAAGAAATAGAAAAATATCGAAAAGTGTGTAAGTAATCGTGAGTACAACTACCGGTGGTGGCATTGCGAAACATCAAATTACTCGTTGTCGAGTGACAGTTGAAACTTGTCAGACTTGTTTGTTTATTGGAGTTGTTGACAATTATAACATAAAACATTACTTATACACTTTTCGATTTGTTTAAAATATGGCAAAAGTTGGTTAGCACAAAACAAATCACAATCAGATGTAAACGCCAATGTGGTTACCAACTCCAATAATAAATAAACAAGTCTGACAAGTTTCAACTGTCCTCGACAACGAGTAATTTGACGTTTCGCATTGCCATCGTCGGTAGTTGATCTCACAGAACAAACATCTATAGGGAGGATATTTTGTGGTTGAACTCGCGAATTATATGCAGCGAAGTAAAATTATTTTTTAGAATTTTTAGCTCACACACGTAGTACAAATTCTGCGCTTCATCAAGTATAATTAATAATCAAATCAGTGTACATAGACAGTGTTTACCAAGCATTCGCCATTGTGTCAAAACACTGTATCTAGAACCTTCGCCATTTAGTCCAACTCCATACAATACAAGTTAGTTATTTGAAAATCGTTGCAAAAATTGAGGCGTTAGTTGATCGATAGTGTTTAAAAACGGCCTTAAAATGGTTTCAAAAGGATGGTCACCGGCATTTGACGAAAAAGCCGTTCTTGCGCGGAACCAGCCATAAACCAAGAGTTGGTATCGCCCGAGGCAACAAACGTTGCGGGGTTCATGGTCGGCAAAGAGAATGCTGCTGGTGACTTGGGCCGATAAACGCCCGTTTCGTTTCCTAGGCGGGCCAGCGCGTCGTTCAACTTGGCCATCCACTTCGTCGTTTTCAGTATCGCAGACTCACAGTGCACGATCGAAGCGTGGCTCGTAAAACAATAGTACGGCTCGAAAAAAAAACCTGGCGTGTTCGAGTGAAACTCGAAGTTTTCCCTGTGAAGTGTCCAAAACTGGAAACTTTGGAATACTTTCGTTAGAAATGTAAGTTTGCATAATAGGCGTCCTGAATGTTTGTAGCGCCGATTTGATTGATTAGTGGTGGGCTTTAGGCAAATTATTTTTGATTCGTTGCAATTGGCCGCAACCGTGCCAAATGCTGGACAGAAACACCATCACGCTCCGGTTGAACGCAAAAAACAACATTCATGTAATCGGTATGAAAGAGGAGCGATTTCGCATTGAATTGCATTGTCTCAGCAACAGACAGAGCAGAAGAAAAAATTATCCACTAATTTTACCTGGACTTGAAGGCAGTTCGGGGACTTTGCATTGGTTTAGGTAGCGCCCTTTGAGCACCGCATCTCCCATGGATCCCTGAAACAGAAAAAATTACATTAAAAATCCATTCAGTTGTTATCTACGCACAATTGAGGTTGAACTGGGTGAATATGCCCACATCACATATCCCAGGCCATGTCCTAGAAGCGGGTGGTTTCTAGGTCAATTCCACGATTATTTTCAATGATTCATGCACAATATGATAAAGAAACCCAAATAGACAGCGTTCGTTACCTACTTAAAAGCTAATTTGCCTGCATTGTTTATTGTTAATGTGTATAGTGAAGGTTTTTACCATAGGCAAATACTTTCTGAAATTTGCGCGTTTTTGATAGTTTAGCTGCGCCCCCTCATTCAAGTGAAAATATACGAACTTCCTGTAAAATAACGGTGCCCCGGCACGATATCGCAACTTATTAAAGAGCTGGCGTGATTTGTTCAAAGTGGCAAATCATCCACCCCAATAACTTGGGTTTTCCACCAATAGAACATTCAACTATCGATTCGCTCCATAGTTTTATCCATAATGGAAGCAGACCGCTGCCCAAACTGGCCGCCTGCAGCCTCGACAATTGCTATTCTTGGCCATTCAATGACTAACGCAAACACCGAACCAAACGATTTCTCATTTTTTACACTGAATTATGGTGGCCGTCAAGGAAAATCAGAGTTTCAGATCAACAAAGATCGATCACCGGACTTGATTTCGGTTTTACCTGCCCTTGATTGTGTACAGAGTCAAAGCCACATATTCTTCCTACCATATTTAAGACCACGAAGAATAGCCAAGAAAGTGGCTGAATAATAATGACTTTAAGACAAACTGTAAACTTGCCTTTAGTTCAGATTCTGCCCCTAAATCAGTGGCATTGATTATGATAACATTAGATTATGAGGCATTTGTTGTGCCAAAGCTTTGAAAAGCACAATTTATAAACTAACCCCAAAAATGCTGAAAACGCTCATTTTTAGACACCCGGTATAGAATACAGCCGGGTATGATGCAATATCGACTAAACCCACCAGCTCTTTCAGCATGTTAATGGCGCTCTTTTCGTATAATCGAAGGCTTCCGCGTGTTTTTGTCCGTTCCTGCTCATTATTCATTCAAATATCGATCTTGCGCAACCCGTTTACGTATTTGAAAATGGCAAAAAAAATGTAAATATTCGCACCCAAGTCAAGGGCATTTTTTCCCGTAAAATAGCAACAATTGCGAATTATTCAAACAACCTGTTGTCGATGCCGATGGCCAGTGGGCATGATCGTAGGCCTACTCTTTAAACAAACAATCCACGACAAAGCAGTGTCGTGATGCGAAAACAAAGGGGGGGTGTTGGGTGTTGCATCCGACATTTCGTCTTTTAACGTGACTCGCTTAAATGGCTTTTGCGGCATTTGTCCATGCATCGGTCCCATCTAAACTTCGTGTCGAGGGTAAAAATACTACATTCAAATCGCAATGGGAAAGGCATTTTATGACCTGGTTAACGAACCAAGGCAAGGCGTCTATCGATTATTTCGACACCACCTGTGGGTGGGTGAAAGACAAACCATGACTCACTACGCCAAGCCATAGCCAACAGGACACACTAAACTGCTATAAAATAAGTCTGTACGCCTCTGACTATCTACCAGCCACTCTTTGGGGGGGGGGGGATTTAAATGTGATGATTTTTTTGCAAAAATACTAATAAGTCAAGGAGGAAAACTTTGCTCAAAATGTGAGTCCAGTAAGAAAAAATGAAATGTTTTCTTTGAGGAAACCCGTTTAGTTGGCATTTACTCATAAACGAAAAATACAGAAAATTTAAAAAACGAGACTGAACACGCGTGAAAAGTGCCAACATTTTATGAAGAATAATTTGTTTTGAACAAACGCACTGTTTCCGATCAAAAAAATAGTCGGTGAAAAATTATCGCTAACCCGAGAATAACCCACTGTGGAGAAAAGGTACAGACGCCTCCTCGTGGCTAAAATTATACCTATAAGTTAAGTAGTAATTTGACACTTGTTTTGTTGACGTTGGTGTCACATTGGTGTTTACATCACATTTTGATTTGTTTTGTTTTGCTCAAATCAACTTTTGCAAGTTTTCAAAGAAATAGAAATAGATCGCAAAGTATTGTTTTATAGTATACATGTCACCAACTCCAACAAATAAACAAGTCTGACAAGTCTTAACTGTCACTCGACAACGAGTACGTTTGACGTTTCGCAGCGCCACCATCGGTAGTTGAACTCGGGAATAGGGTTTTTATGCGCATTAGTCCCGTCAATTCAGATGCGTGCACAAAATTGCCCAGTCTTGTCCAGCTGGAAAAATATCACAACTTTGAACTGGAAAAAATACAGTTTTTTAGCATTTACTCCAAAGCAACAGATGGAACATTCAAAAAGCGTGGAGTAAAAAGAAGGTCAAACGTACTGTTTTCGTCAGAAAAATGAGTTAGGGCAAACTTAACGCTTACCCGGGAATAACCCAATGTGGAAAAAAAGTCATTACTAGAGTTTTAATGCGCATGCACCCCGTCTATTCAGTGGCGGACACAAAATTGCTCCACCTTGTCCAGCTGGGAAAGTATTAAGGCTTCTGTTTGAAAAAGTCTAGTTTTTGAGAATTTACTCAAAAAAGAAAAATACAGATAATCGAAAAAGTGCAACTGAACACGCGTGGAAATTGCCAACATTTTACGCAGAATAATTTTTTTGAACAACCGCACTGTTTTCGAGTAAAAAAATAGGTGGCGAAAAATTAACGCTAACCCAAGAATGACCCGCTGTGGAGAAAGAGTCATTAATACGGTTTTTATGCGCATTAGTCCCGTCATTTCAGTGGCGTGCATAGAATTGCTCAATCTTATCCAGCTGCAAATATATCACAACTTTGAAATGGAAAAATCCAGTTTTTTGGTATTTACTCCAAAGCGAAAAAAGATGAAACATTCAAAAAGCGTGGACTAAAAAGATTGGAAAATTGCGAGAATAAAGTTTTTTGGTCAAACGCTATGATTTCGTCAGAAAAATGAGTTGGTGCAAACTTAACGCTTACCCGAGAATGACCCACTGTTGAGAAAAAGTCATTTCTAGATTTATAATGCGCATGCACCCCGTCTATCCAGTGGCGGACACAAAATTGCTCCACCTTGTCCAGCTGGAAAAATATTAAGGCGTCTGTTTGAAAAAGTCTAGTTTTTAGGGATTTACTCAAAAACAAAAAATACAGAAAATCGAAAAAACGCCACTAAACACGCGTAAAAATTGCCAACATTTTAAGTAGAATAAATTTTTTTTGAACAAACACATCGTTTTTGAGTAAAAAAATAGTTGGTGAAAAATTAACGCTAGCCCAAGAATGACCCACTGTGGAGAAAAAGTCATTAATACGGTTTTTATGCGCATTAGTCCCGTGAATTCAGTGGCATGCATAAAATTGTGCAATCTTATCCAGCTGTAAAAATATCACACCTTTGAACTGGAAAAATCCAGTTTTTTGGCATTTACTCCAGAGCGAAAAAAAATGGAACATTCAATAAGCGTGGTCTAAAAACAATGCAAAATTGCGAACATTTTATTAAGAATAAAGTTTTTTGGCGCTAACCCCAGACTTAAACTTAAAAATTAACGCTAACCCCAGAATGACCCACTGTGGAGAAAAAGTCGTTAATACGGTTTTTATGCCCATTAGTCTCCTTAATTCAGTGGCGTGCATAAAATTGCCCAATGTTGTCCAGCTGCAAAAATATCACAACTTTAGACTGAAAAACATCGTATTTACGCCATAGCGAAAAAAGAAGGAAAATTCAAAAAGCGTTGACTAAAAATACTGGAAAATTGCGAAAACTTTATTAAGAATAAAATGTTTTGGCCAAACGCACTGTTGAGAAAAACTCATTACTAGAGTTTTAATGCGCATGCACCCCGTCAACACAATTGCACAACGTCACAAAATTGCTCCACCTTGTCCAGCTGTAAAAGTATCAAAGCTGCTGTTTGAAAAAATCCAGTTTTTAGCATTTGCTCAAAACTCCAAAAATATCGAAAGTTGAGAAAATGCCAACAGAATCCCTGGAAAATTGCGAACAATTTTCAACAAACAAAATTTTTCGAAAAAAAGGCCTTGTTAGAGAGAAAAAATGTGGACAAACTTGCGACGCGAATCGGAGAATGACCCACTGTGGCGTCGCATTTTCAGGCATTTCTCCCTGTATTTTTTCCGAAAACTGTGCCCAACCACTTAATCGTTAATCACACTATTAGGAAACCCGATCAGTGTGAAGGCTGCTAATTGCGCAGGGATTCGATACGCTGCCTAATTATTCAATTTGGTTTTAATTAGATCTTCGCCTTCGGAACAATATCAGAGTTTACTGGCCGGGCAAGAAAAACTGTTTTAGGTCCGCCACTGACCTGATCTCAGCGTGCTTCAATTAGGTAAAATTTCAGGTCATGATTGGTTCGGTACGACTATGTCGACCAGCGCACCTCAACAGGATCTAATCGACTTCCACGTGGGGGCCCCTGAGCCGCCCGGCGCTTCTGAGCCGCCTTTTTCCTGCGAATCCGAAAGCCTAATCGACACGGATCTACCGGTGTTTGAGCAAAAACTCCTCACGCACTCTTCCGCCGCTTGCCCACACTTGCGGAAAAACAGCATAGATGTCGAGGACATTCTGATCGACTTTGATGACTGTTTCGACAAAGACAGTCTCGATGGGGAGGCAGTGGAAGTCGATGACTTTCTTCCAGTGTGCGAGGGAGTTGAGGACGAAGCCGCCACCTTGCCAGTGGACAACTTCGAGGCGCTTCTAGTGCTGAAGAACCTGGATGACTTGCTGAACGCCACTCTGGATGAGTCGCTCGACAGCAATGGGAACGTGGACGACGATGCCCAGTCCATAGAGGAGTGCCTGGAGGACTTGGACAACTATCTGCAGGCGATTGAGAATTATGAGACTGAGTCTGAAGAATCATACGAGCAGAGCTTGCAGAGCGCCGACATCCAGGTAAGACTCAGATCGGTATGCGAAGTCAGTTCAGTCAATGAATGCGCTTTTTAAGCTTTTCTGGTGAGGCGCTGGAGCTTAAACGGACTTGAGTCGGAAAAAGTTTCGAACTAGTGTGGTACTAACTCAGAAATTCGCTCAAAAGTGTCAGTCAACTGAACATTTTCACAGTTAATAATCGACTTTTCTCTATAAAACTGTGTTAAAGTAATTTTTCGGGATTTCCTGCCGTTTGAGTAATATGTAGTTTTGCAGCGCTTTGGTGATCTGGATGAAAAAAGTACGAACTGTGGAGTCGATTTGAAAAATTCGCTCAAAAGTGTCAGTCAACTGAATATTTCCACAGTTACTAATAGAAGTTTTCTCTATAAAACTGTGCAAAAGTCATTTTTCGGGCTTTCCTGCCGTTTGAATAATATGTAGTTTTGCAGCGCTTTGGTGATCTGGATGAACAAACTACGAACTGCGGAGTCGATTTTAAAAATTCGCTAAAATTCGTTCAAAAGTGTCAGTCAACTAAACATTTCCGCATTAACTAAGTACAGTTTTCTCTATAAAACGGTGCAAGAGTCATTTTCTTGGCTTTGCTACCGGTTGAGTAATTTGTAGTTTGGCCACGCTCTGTTGGTCTCAAAGAGCGACGTGCTAACTAAGGAGTCGATTTCAAAAATTCGCCAAAAGGGCCAGGGAGCTGAAAATTTTCACAGTTTCCAAGACCAAGATTCGGTGGGCAAAATCAAGCTCAAAATGTCTCATATTGTAGGTATTTTGAACACTTGAAGAAAAGTATTAAACTTTCTTTCAATAGCATCACCGGGTCCAAAAAAAGTTAAGCGCAAAAAACTGTTTTTTGCATTTTTTTTTATTATTTAAACAATGTTCGCACACAGCCGAAAATCGCGCGCAAACTATTTTCCGTCCCAATATTCTGACATCCTTCCGAACAACTTCCAATAATCTTTCACCCTCATCCATGTACCGCCCAAAACAAGCCTTTTAAAGTCTAATGTGACTGGACTAATGAGCGATTCGCCGACGACTCGCCCATCATTGCGGCGGATCTCTGCGGGCCGCTCCTAAGAGAGCAAACGTTCCATACAATGAGACTAATTATGCATTTAGGAGCCGTTCGACGAGGAGCTGGAGCGCCGCAAATTGAGGCAAATCGAAGAAAACTACCGGAAGTTCGTGGCCTCTGGGATCGTCAATCGCGCATTTACCGACACGGAAAACAATGGTAACTTCACGCCTGCTAATCAATCGCGTAGGCCTTCGTCGGCGTGTGCCATGCCCGACCGGAAGCAGCCGCTTAGGGCCAGTACTGTTAATGCGCCTCGACGCCAGCGACCTCGAGTAACCAGGCAAGCCCTTCAACTAACCTCCTTCGCTTTGAGGCGGCTTTACCCAAGTTCTTTTCAGGCGGAAGTCGCTTGGTGAACATTTTGTCGCACCGCACCGGACGTCCGAAACCGACGCACCCGGGGACTGTCCAGTTCTCACCAATGACGTCAGTCGAGAGCGTCATGCTTACGCTTCAGCTGAGCGCTGTACTGGAACGGTCATTGTTGAGCCGCTGCATAGGCAATGTGAGGAAGCCAGTTCTTCTGCATATGCGGTCATTGACGAAACGGTATCACCCGATACGCGCAGAACACCGTGGGTGCGCACTTCTATGCGGAGGTTGCAGCAGGTGGCCTTGCCCACCTCCGGAGGGCAGGAAGGTCGGCCTGTGAGTGCCCCGTCCCGTTTGCCCCCGCCCGAACCAACTGGTGGTAAGTTTGCTCTGGAAACCCGCGATCTCCTCTAACTGGTGCCTTCCAGATCGGGGCCGAGCGCTGTCTGGCAACTCGGACAACCGGCCCAGAAGCGCCTCGACTTCATCGCGCTCCCAAAGAGCCAGAAGTCCCTCTTCCAGCACCACGAGCATCGTTTCCAGCGTGGACAGTGCGCAAAGTCGTCTGCCGCCGTTGGAAACTGCCACCACAACCAACGCTGACCCCAGCAGTAGCAACAACAGCCCCAGGCGGTAAGTTGGAGGAAAGATTCTTCTAATTAGTGAGTTGATCGTTTCTATTCCAAACCGGCAAAGTCTACTTGTGCCAGGCCCTACGCGAAATCTACCACAAACTGGTTGCAATATTCGCCGATAACCTCCAGCCAACGAAAACCGACTGGCTCATTGTGCATGTTAATTAGAGCACACAATTAAGCAATTATCTTCAACTTGCCGTAATTAGTCTTACCACCTACTTTCATTAGCACAGTGTTTTCTACCTTAGATGTTGGTCGTATTTGACCTTATGCTAGCGCTAGTAGGCCTAGGTAACACTGTTTTGAGTTGTTGCCGCTCTCTGAGTTCATGAGTTATAACTCATGGCTGATGCCGGAAATTTTGCGTCTAACCAAAAAAAAACATCAACATATTGCTTTTGCGCATAGGTACGATTGAAACGCGTACTACAACGACGCTTGAAACTTGGCCCAAAACGGAGATTTTGAAGAAACTTTAAAACAAAAACAGAGCGATAAGGATGACTCGTTTTCCAAATATTGATTAAATGCTTTTCACAGCGACAAAACTGACAAGTTTTCCAAATAATTGGTTATAAACTTTCACTTGTTCCGCTCAGGGAAATATTTTTGGAAAAAAATCCAAGAAAAATTATTAGGGTTTTGTCCAAAATTCGAAAATGCAAAAGGTGTTCAGGAGCCGAGTGTTACCTCACAGCACAGAAATTACCTGAAGATTGTCAGTAATTTAAGTAAAACTAAAAATAATGCGTGTTTGCGTAAAGAGAATTGCTTAAAAAACTTTGCTAAAATTGGAATGACCTGAAATTTTATAGAAACTTTAAAAATCTACAAAGCGATGAGGGCGGCGAAGTTTCCTAATTATTTTTTGTAAACTTTTGCTCTCTGGCCGTTTTTACAAGATAATCTTAATTACTTTCGGTGAAAAACTGAATAAAATTATTTGGTTTTTGTGTCAAATGTCGAAGCTGAAAAGGGTTTTCTAAAGTTCCCTGCAAACCGATGAATGAGACGAATTTCTAGCAAAATGAATTTTGCCATTTTTGGTTGAAAAGACCCAATTATTGCCAGAAAAGAAGAAAATAATCAGAAAATTATATCTTTTTGCGTTTTTGATTTAAAACTTTTAGTTTTGTGATCGGCTTTTGCGTAAACCGATCACGGGGATAAATTTATTTTCGTTTTTGCCCCGAATTCGACTTCGAAAAAGTTTTGTAAAATTGCTACAAAGGTATAAATACATCCAGATCGTCAGTATTTTTAAGAAAACTACAAAATAGAGCGTTTTTGAGTATAAACTAAACTACAACTACTAAACAAAAAAAAAATTTTTTTTTAACAATCTTCAGTTTTGAGAGGAATGGAGGTGACGAAGTTTCCAAATAATCGGTTACAAACTTTCGCTTATTCAATTCGTTTTTTGATAGAAAATTATTTGATTTTGGTCCCAAATTCGAAGCTGGAAAGGGATTTCAAAACTTTTTACAAAGCGACGAAGGAGGCGCTATTTCTAACAAAATGTATTTCATAATTTTTCGCGAAATATACCTTAAAATGTCAGTATTTTCTAGTGAATCTTTAGAAAATTGAGCATTTAGAAGAAAGAGTAACTTTGCAAAAACTGGAAAATTCTGAAATTTTGAAGAAATGTTAAACCGATGAGTTATAACTCGTTAACTCAGAGAGCGATAACAGTCTATTAACCACTGAACTAAACCGATGGAAAACCGAAAACGAAAGCAAACAATGTCTATTGTAGAGCGGCCGCCATATAGAAAGTCTTTTATCACACTTGCGGTCAACGGATGGCAACAGTGCTATTATTAAAAACGTATATTTCATAATTAAATTAAAGCATCTGGTCAACGGTTATTAAAAAAAAAACATTTTTCCGTTGCATCAGGCTGATTGGAACTAATTTACGTCAAAACCTGCCGCATCATTCGGGAGGTGTCCGGCACTCGCCATCCTCAAGACGTAAAATGGGGGCTTTTTCAAAATCCTCAATCACATACCGGTCGGGCTCTTGTTCGGTCAAACCCAAGGGCTTGTTGTACAACCCCTCAAACTGCACATCACTTGTAGACCCAGGTTCTAAGACAGTTTCTTGCTTTAAGCCACTTGGCCCAAGTGCTCCAACGTTAGGGAGCGGCCGGAATATTTCCACAATTTGCTCAAAGTCCCGCTCAGCAGCCAGTTGCTTCTCTTCGGCCAGCTGAGCCGCTCTGAGCGCCCGTTTTCTAGCAGCTTCTTCAGGTCTGCTCGCTTCCAGAGCTCTGAGCGCCTTCAGTTTCCCGGCCCCATAAAAAATGCCGGGAATCAGAAAGGCGTATCTGAAAAACTACGCGATTTGTGCCAGTTTTGCCCGATCGGGGATTTACCTTGATCAGTAGGGAAACTTGAACTGGGGCGAGCAAATCTGGCATGATGCCGCTTCAATTGCTGTCAGTCAAAGTGACTTTAACGGCCGTTACCTTCGAGAAAATGCTCCAATAGTGGAATACCGGGTCACCGATCTTCTAACGGTGAGTTTCCTCCGCCAGGTGAAACCCGACATGATGTTCCATCAATTGTTATTGTTTGTTAGTGCGGCGGAAGCTTCGCAACGGTGTGGTTTAACGTAAGTGAACGAGTTCGAGTGTTTTTTTTGTTTTTCGGAAAATCCCCCATGCCAGCTAGTGGGTCGCCTGTTACCGACATCAGCAAACCGTTAATGTTTCTTCAGCCATCTGTCGCTTAATGGTTGGTTTCAAGTTCATCAGTTCCGCACAGGGCGATTTTTTCGCCATTGGCTTTTCAATTACTTTTGCCGCTCGGCTTTCGGTTTGGCGATGAGAATTAGCAGCTCTCATTAACAGCCAGGGTCTTTTGCTGCCCTAGATCTAATCAATTGCGTGCTTGAATCACTGGGTTTTCATTCAATTAGCACCAATAACTAGTCAGGGTTTTTTTGGTTGACCTCAAGAGGTCGGTGATAACAACGACTACTCGCGCCGATTGGATAATAGTTTGCACATTTACCTATTAATTAAGCCCCACAAATCTCACTGTTTTAAACAGCAATAATTAGCTTAATGAATCAAAATAATGTAGAATTCGACGTATTTTGAGTGAATTTTTTGGAACCTGGTCCCCCTTCGGAAATTTTCGACCAAAAACCAAAATTTGCCAACCGTGTTTTTGCGCTCATTGGATTGTTTCTGATCTAAGAAGCTGCCCAGTGACGAATTTGAAGTTTTTGAGGCCATAATATGGAAGAAATCGTCCTTTGAAGTTTGCGACCGCTTTAAAACCGCTCAACACACGCCAGAAAATGTTGATTATTTCCGAACTGGAAACTCCGCGGGGTTTTTTCATCAGCTCATTGCAAGTCTCGCCTTTTTCCGGTGAAAATAATGTAGAATTCAAGGTATTTTGAGTGACTCGATTTTTTTGGCAAAATCGACCCCTTGGTTCCCCCTTAGGAAATTTTCGACCCAAAATAAAAATTTGATAACCGTGTTTTTGCGCTCATTGGATTCTTTCCGATCTAAGAAGCTGTCCAATAACAAATTTGAAGTTTTTGAGTCCATAATATGGAAGAAATCATCCGTTGAAGTTTGCGACCGCTTAAAAACCGCCCAACATAGACAGAAAATGTTGATTATTTCCGAACTGGAAAGTCTGCGGTGTTTTTTGATCAGCCTGTAGCATTCCTCGCCTTTTTCCGGTGAAAATAATGTGGAATTCGAGGTATTTTTAATGACTTGACTTTTTTGGAAAATCGACCAATTAGTCCCCCCTTATGAGATTTTCGTCCAAAAATCAAAGTTTGATAACCACGTTTTTGCGCTCATTAGATTGTTTCCAATCTAAGAAGCTGTCCAATAACGAATTTGACGTTTTTGAGGCCATAATATGGAAGAAATCGTCCGTTGAAGTTTGCGACCGCTTAAAAACCGCTCACAATAGACAGAAAATGTTGGTTTATTCGGAACTGGAAAGTCCGCGGTGTTTTTTAATCAGCTTGTTGCATTCCACGCCTTTTGTCGGTAAAAATAATTTAGAATTCAATTTTCGACCCAAAATAAAAGTGACAACCGTGTTTTTGCGCTCATTGGATTGTTTCCGATCTAAGAAACTGCCCAATAACGAATTTGAAGTTTTTGAGTCCATAATATGGAAGATATCGTCGGTTGAAGTTTGCGACCGCTTAAAAACCGCTCACAATGGACAGAAAATGTTGGTTTATTCGGAACTGGAAAGTCCGCGGTGTTTTTTAATCAGCTTGTTGCATTCCTCGCCTTTCTTCGGTGAAAATAATGCAGAATTCAAGGTATTTTGAGTGACTCGAATTTTTTGGAAAAATCGACCCCTTGGTTCCCCCTGAGGAAATTTTCGACCAAAAATCAAAGTTTCATAACCACGTTTTTGCGCTCATTGGATTGTTTCCAATCTAAGAAGCTGCCCAACAACAAAGCTGAAGTGTTTGAGTCAATAATAAGGAAGATATCGTCGGTTGAAGTTTGCGACCGCTTAAAAACCGCTCAGGATAGACAGAAAATGTTGGTTATTTCGGAACTGGAAAGTCCGCGGTGTTTTTTAATCAGCTTGTTGCATTCCACGCCTTTTTTCGGTGAAAATAATTTAGAATTCAATTTTCGACCCAAAATAAAAGTGACAACCGTGTTTTTGCGCTCATTGGATTGTTTCCGATCTAAGAAACTGCCCAATACCGAATTTGAAGTTTTTGAGTCCATAATATGGAAGAAATCGTCCGTTGAAGTTTGCGACCGCTTAAAAACCGCTCACGATAGACAGAAAATGTTGGCTATTTCGGAACTGGAAAGTCCACGGTGTTTTTTAATCAGCTTGTTGCATTCCACGCCTTTTTTCGGTGAAAATAATGTAGAATTCAATTTTCGAACCAAAATAAAAGTTTGACAACCGTGTTTTTGCGCTCATTGGATTGTTTTCGATCTAAGAAACTGCCCAATAACTGGAAAGACCACGGTGTTTTTTAATCAGCTTGTTGCATTCCATGCCTTTTTTCGGTGAAAATAATGCAGAATTTGAGGTATTTTGAGTGACTTGAATTTTTTGGAACCTGGTCCGCTCTTATGAAATTTTCGACCAAAACTCAAAATGTGACAACCGTGTTTTTTTGCGCTCATTGGATGAAACCAAAATTTAAAAAATACTACCCAAGAGTCTGGCAATTTTAACCATGGCAAATCGATCGTTTTCCAAATGGGGCCCAGTCAGCCTGGAAGCAGGCCATCGTCCAGTCACGCAAAGGTTCTACAATCAATAACACCCACACGCAACTGAAAAAATCAACCCAAAAGTGTTTCTTGCAGTTGCTTTATTGCGTTTACAATGTTTCAGTAAAAAACAACAACCAGTTTATACAGCTCACTTTTCAAATATATCCGAACTTCGGTTGTTTCAGAGCATGCGAACGCGCTAACGAAATGCCCGAGGCGGAAAGTCCGCTGGGCAAATGGCCCCATAGTTTGAGCTCCATGATGGCCTGTCTTGGTTGCACCCTCGGGTTGTTCAACATATCACGCTTCGCCGTTCTCACCATCCACTTCGGGGCCAATTTCATATTCCAGTTCATCCTACTGTCGCTCGTTTTCGGGCTGCCGCTCTTCACTCTCCAGCTCTGTCTGGGCCAACAACTGGGCACCGGCGTGATCGACATGTGGCGAATTTCCCCGCTCTTCCAAGGTGTCGGCGTTTCGCTGCTCATCACCCAGGCGCTCACTGGACTCTACAGCATTGTGGGCGTTTCCTGGATGTTCGTCTACTTTCAGGACTCCTTCATCACTGCCGTGGACAAATACCGATGGGCGCAGCCCTTCATATTCTATAGAAAAGGTAGTGGTTCTTTGGGTTAACACTGTTAACAGCGACGAGAATTCACGCCCAAATTTCATCTACAGATGCACAGCCTCCAATCAACGGCTCCTACAAGCTGAGTGAAACGGTGCCTGACTACTTCAGCGGGGTGGTGCTGCAACGGTACCACTTGCCCAATGGAGTCGCATATGGAACCATCAAGTTCCAGTCGGCTTTCAACTTGGCGGTAGTCTGGACGGTGATTTTCGTGTCTTTGAGCAAAGGCTTGCGCTCCTACGGCAAGGTGAGGTCCTACGCAATAATACGTTCCTCTGGGACTTAGGAGGCTGATTCCTTTAGGTGATCTACGTGTTCACCCTGTTGCCAGTCTTCGGCACCTTCGTCCTCTGTGCCAAAATCCTCGGTCTGATGCCTCCAGAGTTTGTGAATATCATCTTCCCCGAAACATCTTGGGGGGAGTTTTTTCTCAATTCGCGGGTATGTTGGACTCAAAGCGTTTCGTGAGGAAATAGGGTGTATTGGGCTGTTACAGAGCTGGCTAGCGGCCGCACAAGAAACCTTCCTCACATGGGGCCTGCTGGGGGCTGCCATCATGCAAATCGCCTCCCACAACAAGCACAAGCACCTTCTGCAAAGAGATTCTAGTCTAATAGCGGTGATCACCATTTCCGTCTTGCTCTTGATGGCCTTCCTGGCTAACACCTGCGTGCAGATTCTCAGATCCTATGGATACAGCTACTACCCGAGCTCTTTCGGTAATTTTTAAATTTTGCAACCAGTTTTTTGAGTCCCGCGTGTTACCTCACTGGGTTTTAGAGCGAATCACCTCCTATCAGTTTCTGAGGCAGGCCAAGGATTCCTTGCCGGCAACAATTTCAAATACCCCAGTGCGGTACATGAGGCACAATTCCTTCATCCTAGGGGAGCAGGTGATCAGGCCGGGCGCTGATGGGGCCCATGAAAGCGGATACCAGGTATGCACAGTCAATCATATTATCTCATCTATAACGTGCCTCCGTTATGCATACCGGCTTAAATCACCAATTCTTGCAGGTGTTGCGTTTGGCGACTGAGATCCTTCCGGCTACTTTCGCAGTGATGGGCGCCGACCAGGTATCTCCATTTTGGGCCGTTCTCACCTACTTCATCCTCATCATGTTCGGAATCGCGCAACAGCTGGCCATCTGGCACTGTGTTATCACTGGAATCATGGCCATCAAGCCCAAGGTGCTGAAGAAGTGGGACTCCACCATTACCTTCTTCAGCTGCGCTTGCGGCTTTATCCTGGGCCTCCCAATGGCTACTGAGGTAGGTCCTTGCCTACGCCCGATTAGTTAGATTAATTTTCACCATTTTTGGGCTTCAGCTAGGGATTTACGTGGTTTACTTCATGGACTACACGCTGGGCAGCATTTGGTGGCTGGTGATCGTCATCGTTCTGCAAATCATGGCCGTTTTCCTGGTCAGAGGACGGCCCTACAGCGGGGACACGGTCGTAACAGCTCTCTTCAGCCCGAACAACCACAGCTACATAGTCAGTTGGGCCCCACCGCTGCTGGCGTTCAATTGGAACGTGATCTTACCGGTGGTTCTTACGGTAAGTAGTCCCGTTGTTTGGTAAGCGGAATTATAAGCAGGGGCGTTTTAGGTGTTGTGCATTGCAACGTTCAAAAACGGCAGTTTCCGGGATATGTTCATTTGGCACCATGTCCCATTTGCTGACTATTGGCCTTTGTGGGCCCGACAGCTGGGATCCATGATGCAACTGCTTCCAGTCCTGTGCGTTCCGTTCGTTGCAGTTATTCAGAGCTATCGCTACCTGAACAATGGACCTACGGATATACTAGACGTATGTAATTTGTTTGCGCCGCGCTCTAATATCGATTGGGTGGGATTAAGATTGGTGATGGAAAGAATCGGTTTAATAAATGCTGAATGGCTGATGGCTTGAATGGCTTGAAATGGCTTGAAAAAAAATGTCCATAACCAATGAACTGCTACTAGTACTAATTGAACTAACTAAATCTCCCTTTCCGCCTGGCTAAGGACATAGAGGATCAAGCGATTAACGTTAGTACTAAAACAGTCCCGAACCTTCGCAATAATCTACGCTAAATCCTCGCTCTTATAGCGAATTCAGCTGCTGTACCGCCCGCCGCTAGGAGAGCACATGGAAGACATCTCTGTTGCGGCGACAATGAGTGCCGCAAACCCCACAAATCTGCCCTCAGAAGACCCTCCGCCCAAGTACACGCCTCCGCCCAGCTACACAACGGCAACAGGAGCCCGCCTGGCCAAATTCCTCCGCCAAAGCATCCGACGGAGTATGCGACGAATAGTGAACGTGCTGGGCGAAGGCAGCTCTTCTGCAGGCACCTCCAGAAGTCGCCCCAGCGTCCAGAACGTCGCCCAAGCGCCGCCGCCCAATTACAATGCCGTTTTCGTCGAGATGAACGTCAGCATCAACCCAGACGACGCCGATGAAGCCAGAATCTCGACGCTGGAGCGGCTGAGAAACTTGCAGGGCTCACCTAACGCTCTCACTGCGGCCGAAGTGGCTTCCATTCTGAGAAGCAGCTTCAGAAGAAGCCGAATGCGCAGCCCGGCTAGCAGTCCTGAGCACCGAGACTTTGATGACCACGGTGTTGGGTCTCTGAGTGCTGAGCACCTGGTGGACGCGGCTGCTCCCATAGGAGAAACGTCGCTGGTCATCGACCATGTCCAAGATCAGGCGCGCAAAGCGCACAATGAAGATTTATCTGTGATATGACTTGTGTTCGGCAACAATCAGCACTAAGGGACTAATCTGGCCGTCAAACCAGAGTCAATTAATTAACAATTACAGCAATTTAAAACCGCTCAATGTTGTAAATAGCCTGCATGTAAAAAAAACCGGTAACATAATGGAAACCCATAATTCTCACCTTGCAAGAAGTAACAGCATCCTGGGGCTAGAAAGTAGCTTTCAGTAAAACCTCAAACCACGCTTAAATTCTTGTTTTCTGCACACAAAAAAAACAATTTTGGATAAATGCCACGTACACACGCAATTTTTGAACACTGTCAGTGGTACCAACTTATAGTTTCAGGTTTTAGAAACAGAAAGACAGAGACAACAAATGAACGTGTTTGTGTGTATGTAACAAGTGATTCGCTTCATTTGAAGGCGACATGAAACTAAAAAATATCGATTTTAAGGGACCAGTAATGCGCAAAAATGATATGAAAGCACAGATGATGTTTTGATTTTGCTTTTACCTTTTACCTAACATGTAGTAATTGCTGTACGTTATTTCAGTTTCACCGTGTGGCTACGTTAAAATCCTACGTATTTTTGTATTGATACTGTCTGTTTAACAAATAATACCGAAAAATAAAAACCAGTTGCATCAATAAATATTTTTTCCCAATTAAATTATGTTCCCAGCACTACCAGGCCGTACTGTCGGCAACAGTGCACCCAACCCACTGACGTGTGACAAGTGTTTGTCAATCGAGCGATCCTATTTGTTTTGATTCAAACAATTATAAGCCTTGTTCTATGATTCCAATTTTTTGCCCAAAAATGGCTTTATTGGACAGTGAAAGGAAAATCGACCGTCGGGAAAAGCCCCAAACCAAAGTGATAATCCGACGCCTGCCGCCTACCATGTCCAAAGATCAATTCCTCACGCAAGTGGCCCCAATTCCAGACTACAACTACATGTACCACGTAAGGGGGGACATGAGCATGGGAGAGAACGCTTTCTCCCGTGCCTACATCAACTTCGTGTGCCCCGAGGATGTTTACCCGTTCAAGGAGAAGTTCGACAATTACGTGTTTGTGGACAGCAGGGGCCACGAGTACATAGCGGTGGTGGAATTTGCCCCATTCCAGAAGATCCCCAAAAAGCGTGGCAAAGGAAAGATGGACCCAAAGTGCAACACGATTGAAGCCGATGCCAGTTTCTTGGAGTTTGTAGTCAATCTAAACAAGCCCGTGGAACAGGACGAAAAGCCCGAGTACACCTTGCAGCTGGGAGAGAGGGACGAGAACAAAAAGAAAGACAAAACCACGCCACTTTTGGAGTTCATCAAGAACAAAAGGGCGCAGCGGCTGAAAATCCGCGAAGTGCGCCGCGAGGAACGAGAAAAAAAGAAAAAGGAGTTCGAAAGACGAAAGGAGATGGGCAGCCGGTACTTCGACGAAAAACCGCCTTCTAAACCTTACGTGAAGAAGTCGCATCTTAAGTACTCGAAAAATGACTCTCATAAAGACCTGCCCGAGGACAAACCAACCAAACAAGACGATAGCTGTTCGGACAAATCCCCACCAGACAAGCCCAAAGACAAACGACTTGAGGAAAGAAAGGAACGAAAAGAGCTGAAGCTTCGCTTCCCTAAAAAAGACTATTCAGAAAATCGCGATTTCTGCCGACCAAAGGAGGAAGCCAAAGCCAGTCAGGCGAAGAAAATAAAAAAATACAGCGAGAGGCGAGAAGAACGCAAATTGGAGGCTCAAAAGGCCGAGCTGCTGAAGAAACTGGAGCAGCAGCAATCGTCTAAACCGGACCCGCCTGAGGCTGAAGAAAACCCCAAAACTCCATTAAACTGTCATGAAAAGGAGACGACTTTAGCACAAGACGAAGCGGCTGCACAAGATAGCGAGACCCAACAAAAGGACACATCCACGGATGACAAGTGCGAATCTGGATCATCTTCCAGACGAATAAGGAATAAGGACCGGCCCACCATTCCCCTATATCGACCTGGCATGCTGTCCAAACGAAAGCAACCCGACACAGAGGAAAACTGCAAGGAAGATGACAACGAAGCGAAAAAGGAGTAGTTGGTTTCATTATTTGATTGAGCCCAGTTGGATTGAAATTATTAATGTTCTGTGACAATATGAGTTTGCATTATAAACTATATTAAAAAAAATTAAGAGATAGACTTTCGAGGCCATGCCTTAAAACTTGTAGGTTTTTACGCCGTCGTACAATAGAATTGATTTGATTCATCAATTAGAACATTGTGAGCGTTCAAGCGAACCACCTCTGAAGATGCAAGCCACTCGTGCTTGCGAAACGTCAGGAAGAAATTATATTGTACGAATGCCTAAATACTCACTAGTTCATATTCAAGAAACGTCGTTTAAGTTTGTAATTACAAAAAAACAAATTTATCGATTGCTTACTAACGGTTCTGGATAGAACTGAATCTGGAAACTAGACCACCAGATTACAAACGAAGAAAAGTTGACGAATTCTGAAAATTTTATAAACCTGACAACGCCACAATCGTGATGAGAAAAGCTCATTGGTAATCAGCATTAGCTGGGGGTCACTCCGTCACCAAAGCACCAGCAAACCGCGCTTTAAACAAAAACGGTTCATAAACTAGCGGTAAGTTCTAAGTAAATTTAACGAGCCCGGCCATATTCAATATTAACCTGAAAACCGCCAGGCAGAGCTGTGAACATAAGAAGCTCGTGTTAATTACTTACCCCCAGAGCTTCGGTTGTGGCCCCGTTTTCCAAAAAATGGGGCTCTAGCTACATTTGAAAACCAAACAGTTCTGCCTTAAGGTCAAAATCTAACTTAACCTCTACTTGCATGGCCCGGCTTGGCATCGTCGCTGAGGTCCGCAGCTAATCATAACAAGTGAAAAATTTCCAGCTCAAATGCAGGAGGTGAACATCGAATCGGGAGTACAGCTTTTTTCCCGCATCCAGACCGAAAGCGCTCACGCCCTTGACGGGATTTACCCCAAATTGTTTCCCGATGGGGGCCCCTTCGGTAACCAAGTGGTTGAGGTCGTATTTAGCAAGGAAACCGACCCAACCGATTGGTTTGCTGATGTTATCGCCAAAGCCGTGCTCCCTTCGAGTCTGCACCCCGAATTCAAGCAGTCCCAGGTGATTTTCTTCAACACCGAAGCGCAGCTCAATATCTTCAAACTCATCAAGTTCATGGAGAAAAAGCTTCGGCAATGCAGCCAGAAAACTGCCGTAGTGGAACAGGCTATGTCCAGACTAGTGCTGCTCAACTGTTACACAGCCGATCAGCTCGAAATAACGTTTTACAACCTGGAAAACATCATCCGCCACCTGGACAGTCCCAGTTTGGTGATTCTGGACAACAGCCTGTCCCAGTACTGGACCAGGCGGTTTGAGTCCAGCAAGCCCATGCTGAGCTTCAAACGCCACTCCATCCAGATTGTAAATGAACTTTTCGAGAAAGTCAAAGGTCTCAATGTGGTACTGATGTTTGGGCGCTCCGGCGACTACCAATCAAGGAGCGCCCACATCGACTACACTATACAAATTGCTCGGGAAAAGTTGGCCACGGTAACGGATTGGGGAAGAAACAGGAAATTTAAAGCGGATATTGATCTGGAGTTTCACTAGGAAGGTTCTCATAGTGGCTTTAATCTAGCTTGTTTCAAAATATACACTTTATACGACGATCCCATACATGTTAGTCATTTTTTTTTCGTTCCTCTGACCGAGTGACGATTAATATCCAATAGGGGTGTTAACAATCAAACAATAAATTAAAAAAGTAGGCTACATTAATAATAAACGACGCTAATTAGAATTAGGCATTGAAAATGCCACGTGTTTATGTTCCTAAGTTTCGTCCCTATGTACCCTTAAATGCAATTTCAATGTGGTTGGGGGTGGCGCTAGCGCTTACGACATGAAATAGAGACGGTAAGCCACTGTTGCGACTAATCCTATAGCGACGGGAATGATCCAGGACTTCAAAGAGCTGAAACATTGCGCCCATTAATCAAACAAAACTGTCTACGCTCTATATGGCTTAAAAACAGAGGAAATTCTGCCTTTTTTTAAGACAAAAACTAGAAACTGGCTCATACCTTTCAGTAGCATCGGGTGCTGGCACTGACCACTCAGTGGTGTTTTTCTTGGGAATATCAGCGGTCCGTTCTGCGGCTACCAGAGTACCGACTTTGAACTCGTCCATTCTTTCGCGAGCATCAGTCGAATGGCCCACATCTTCGAAGGCTTCCGTTGCATTTTTTCCGGCGTGCTCCAGCAGCACTTCCTCTCCACCGGGGTGCTGCAAAAACGGACAAACCCCCCATTAATCAAAAGTCAATGCGAAGAACCTTCAAGTCAAACCTGCCACTTAAAAAAATTACTACCAATTGGCGCTTAATGTATGACATTAAACGCGGTCACAAACATGCAGTCAATAGAAGCCCTGAATTATTAGGTCACCGCTGACCTTTCTTATCTAATAATTCAGATATTTGTGAAGGAGCGCAAATAAACAGTTTATCTGAGGTAATCTCGTTCTTCTTGCCGTCTTATCAGCGAACCCAGAAAACCCTGCAGGCTCTTATCGCGCCACTTCAATAAATGTTTGCTTTCCAATTAAGGGTTTTTTCCAATGAATAAATCCACGTGCCCTTTGCAGACTTTTTCGGGATCAAGGAATGATCAAGGAAGAACGCCTGCCTAAGGGCAGAGTACGAAAAATTGGCAGCAACGTTACCTCATTCAGAAAGGGAGTCACATCGTAAATATCATTGCCAATCAGGATCCAGACATCTTTCTTGGAGTTGTGCTCTTTCACTTGAGCAATGGTGTATTCTTTAACCATTTTCGTTGGTTGGTTGCTTGTCGAAATCACTGTCCGCGAAGCAAACGCTACTCTAGAACTGGCAGTACCGACTATCGGCTGCCTCTAAATAGGATCAAAGTACCAAATGACGTGGTGCTTTCCTATCGAATTAAACTGCACAGCGTACCGAGCGAGTAGTGCGCAATGGTACTAGTTTTTCCTCTAGTCATTCCTTAATCGTTCAATGATTAAGCAAAATTCTCACTGTTGGAATATTCGCGAGGCGAGGGCATCTATCCGCTGATAACTATTGCAGCTTCAATGTTTCAATTTTATCAACAACAAAAATACTTGATAGGACCTGAAAACTTTCGTTGATTTTTACCGTCTCTGTTGCGAGCCATGCAGTCAGAAGAATTGAACGCACGGAAAAAACAATACTCGAATTGAAGCTTCAAGCAACAAAAGGGCTTTTGGGGCGCATTTACCTCTCTTGCAATTAAATGGAAAAGAGCAAAATACTATTGCGCATTTTATTTTATCAGTTGCATATGTACTACTCTAGTTAGTAACAGCGATTAATAATTCTACGCGCATCCACCAATAAATCCACTAGAGTGAAATAGTAATACACGTAAACAACTCCGTCGTGATAATTTAGCAACTTATCAGCTCTGATAAAACGTTTCGAACCATTATTATTTAATAAGATAATGAGATGTTTATAGTAAAACAGCAATGAGATCGGTGCTCACTTGCCTCGTTAAGGAACGTAGTCACGTCATATACATCGTTGTTGATCACAAACCATGTGCTCTGCCGGTCGTTGTGCTGCTTGATTTCCTCGAAACTCAGCTCTTTGCTCATTTTCAAGGGATTTTATTCGGAAAATGCCGGAAAAACCACTAAACACTCCACAATTTTATGAAAGCCGCACTGTGACCTGACGTCGGACATTGACAACTGACTACTGACTGACATTAGTGTCTATTTGACGCTAATTTCTCGCTAAGAAAGCCTAATTATATTGCAACTAAAACAGCAGTAAAATAATATTAAAGGGCAAAAAATAAAATGAGAATCTCTTGGTTCATTTCCATGCGACTACTGCCATCTGGGTGCAACAGCCCGAAGCTAGCTAAAACCTCCACCATGCACTACTGTCCTCATCGGCCAGGGGTGGTGCTGAAACCAACGCGATTGGTGGGTTATGCGCAACTGGAAGACGTTCCAGCTTGTGCCAACTGTCCGATTGACATGCATGCTGGTAGACGCGACGGCCATTTTCTACGTAAACTTACACGCCCTAAAATGCAGGAAATCGACATTTTCGTGTAAAAGGGCTTCCTTATGTGTGCGTGTAATGTACAATGATGACTAGCTTTCAACAGCAAAAGTATACTCAGTTGCAACAGCCAACCGTACCTGCAACCATGATGCCATCAGGATCACCGAGCCTGGTAAGTCCCCAAAACGTGCAGTTTTCCGATGGAGAGTGTCAATGTGGTGTGTTGCAGCCAATGATGCCGCCTCCACACATGGCGCCCCCGCCGCACATGCCGCCCTTTCCCGCGCACCTCATGATGGCACAACCGGCGGGAATGGGGCTCATGCAGCCCCCATTGCCACCCATGCCGCCCCAGATGCCTCTAGCGGCTTGTTCAATACTGCCCCATCAAGCGTCGGTGGCTTCACCCGTTCCACCACCTCCTGTAGAGCTCGAGCTCGAGGCCGAGCCCCAATACGACGATCCGCCAGCCCCTGGCACCGAGGAGCCGCCCGCCAAGTCGCCTAAACTAGATGGTAAGTTATTCCAGACCCGACAGGTGCGTGCATTTGTTTGAAAACATCGTTGGCTACACAGGGCGTCGAATACTAATTTTCTCTCTGTCTGATTGAGATGTTCCAGAATAAGGAGGACAGAATCGTTCAGCCCCTCTAGATAGAGCCCTATTGTGGAGTCTAAGTCCAGGCAAATGTGTAACCGTCGGTTACATGGTAGGAAATGCAACAACAACAATGAAAAAATTAAAACTGCCTTTGGTTGGGGGTGAATACGGGTGAGCGCCTCAGGGTGCTTGAAAACTGATGAGGAATTTTGTGATTGTCTACTGTACATTCGCAGGGATCTGCTTGTTTACTCCAGACTCTGTCTGAAGTTCAGAAGTACTTCCCATGCGCTTTAATTTATGAACTGGAGGCAATCATCCCTGTTCGCCCCTGGCCCCTTTTTAACCAGTCAAAATCAATGATATAACTAAGCCTTGTGTTCCTCGGTTATCTTAGACATATCTATTGTTTTTTTGTGCTTCCAGATGCGATATACACGTTGTTTGATAATCTAGCTGAATGCGGCTCATCGGATGGACGTCGTGCCGCTTTGATGTTCCTTTTTCGCTGTTTTATTTTACTCACACACTCATATTAATATTGCGTGAACAGTGTCCAGTTTTCATAAGGACTGATCTATTCCCTTGCTCGGAAGAGCCCCAATATGTGTATTATTGAGAATGTTTGATTTTTTTATTATTTTAGACGGTTGGCGCATATCTGCGACGCTCATTTCTAACAGTAGTTTTTATCGTTTGAACGACCCATGGTTTTATTGGAGACTGATCATAATGTAATCATTATTGAATACTTGTAGCAGCATTATTGCGTTCGGTTGCAACGATAACGGCTTGCCCTTTGAGGTGAATAATAATAACGATCCTAACTGAGCAGATGAGAACGGTTTCATTGCGCTCAAAGTCTAGTCGTTGCTGGTGCAGCCTGATCACTTAAACAGTATTATTCTGGGTCATTGGAAAAGCAACTAGTAGAGTTTTATCGGGTAAAAGCCCAAAAACCGTTCAAAACTTTCAATTGGGGAAGTTGCTTTGCAAATGTCCAGCAAAACCATTCATTGCAGTGTTTTTGCCACTTTTTCACCGGCTTGTTTGTTTTAGGTGACGGCGTCGAATATATTTCTGATCTGAACCAGACTGAGGAGGTTGTTACAGGTAAAACTTCATCAACTCCCAAGTTTCATGTGTTTAAACCCGATGATTTTTTAGGTCCTGGCGCTATTAGCAATTCAGTGGCCGGCATTTTAGGCGGTGTTCTGCCCAAACTGTCCTCAGATCAAGCTGATGCGGTGGCCAAAGCGAAAAAATACGCCATGGAGCAAAGCATACGAATGGTTTTGATGAAACAAACCATCGCCTATCAGCAACAGGTTAGAACTGCCCCATGATGGGTTTTAACGTTTATTTTAATCACTGTTTTATTTGTAGAAAAACAAAACTTTTCAGCGCCATCAGGTTCTCGTTCTAATGTGCAGGTGAGTAATCGATAACTTTGTTTTTTCCACTGGGGCCATTTCAAATGATGCCACATTTTCTCAAAAGTTGTCGAGGCCCATTGAGGCTTCCATCAGTGATTGTTTGCTGATAAGATCTGATTATTCCGCTCACTACACAGCCACAACCGTAAATTCGCGCGACTGATTAAAAAAAATGCACTTTTTAGAGTCTACGTGGGATCAATCAGCTTCGAGCTCAAGGAGGACACCATTCGGCAATCGTTCCTGCCCTTCGGTCCGATAAAGTCTATTAATATGTCCTGGGATCCGGTTACTCAAAAGCATAAAGGTAAGCCACTTTCCTATAGATTGAAACGGTCCCGACACTAAAGCTCCGAAAAAATTTACCAGTTTTTTAATTGATTTTTTCGATTTTTAGGTTTTGCTTTTGTTGAATACGAAATCCCAGAGGCTGCACAATTGGCACTCGAACAGATGAATGGGGTGATGATCGGAGGGCGGAACATCAAGGTAAATGTTCGTGTTCAGTTTTTATCTTCCTTTATTATTTGGTTAGGGGCCGACTTTACCCATTGCCCACTATTTTGCACTTTGATGGCTCAAGTCGGCCAAACATTCTCTAATAGAGCCTCCCTCTGAACGGACTTGCTCTTTACACATGGTTTCTGAACGATCAGGCTTTACTAAATAGTCAGCAACAGTATTTGGGAGGCTCTATTCTGGCCAAGGTTTGTGTTTAGCACCAACTTTATCGACACTCAATTCACCATGAAGGGAAATAAAGACAAGCCTTGACCTATTATACAGGGTTGCTCATTAGTGCGTCAAAGTGCGATATCTCAGTAAATATGAAGTTTACAAGAAAATTCGTCCAACGAAAGTTTTTCACGTTTAAAAGGTCCACATTCTAAAATTACTTTCCAATATACAGGGTGCATCATAAACGTGTGGTAGTTACCAACTCTGGTTTTTTTTAATGAAACCCCCCCTTTTTTTTGTTATTTTCAGATTGGCCGTTCAATTTTAATTTATGTTTGTTTCAACCGTTTTACCTGAAAAATTTACGATTTCCGAGTTATTCGTAAAAATGTGAAAGTTTTGACAGCTACTGGGTTCCACAGAAATCGATGCTGTACACTACTCGCTGCGAATTTTGGAAAACAGTTTTCAGCGATTCTAACAGAACATCATGATCTACGTGTACATATGTTTTAAATTATAAGGAAATACTTCTAAACCGCGCAATTAGCCTCTAAACTTGCATGTTTTTAAACCTCAAAAAGTTGCTTATTTCAAATG